AGGAAATTCACGGGCTCCTGTTTTACCATCGATTCTTGCACCTCTCTGGCCGCCATCTTTGCTGATGCAATTTTCACTATCCCTTCAAAAGACGTAGCGATATTTTCCTCCATTAGACGGTCCAAAATTGGTCCCTTTTCGAACCCAAATATCAATCGATCTCTTAGGCAAACTCCCAGCTCGGCTCCGAACTCGCATCCTACAGCCAGACTTCGCAATCTGCCTGCCCACTGAGTTGCCGTCTCTCCATATTCCTTCCTTGCTGCATAAAATTTGTATCTTAAAGCTAATGCGGACTGCTGCGGTTTAAAATATTCGTCGAACACCTTGATCAACTGGCCAAATGTCTTTTGTTCCGGTTTCTCAGGACTTACCAAATCGAATACTAATTTGTTTGCCTCTTCATCACATGTATTTAATAATATCGCCTTCTTTCTGTCTTCATCTTTCTCTTCTTTTATTCCGTTTGCAGTGAAATAGATTAACAAACGGGCCTTGAAGATAGACCAGTCACTACTTATCGGTGAAAATTCCCTGAGATGCCCGATTTCCGCCATTTTACTGTTCACTTCTTAACGCGCGGATCTATATTCGTTTTCAACACAGAATAGAATAGTTTTTAATCCTCGTCGCCAATTGTGGTGTCTTGGACCACGTGATTCCAACTTTACTGAGGCTGAGTAAAACACAGATTGAAATTTGATACTTTTATTTCAACGCTCAGAGAAAGAATAAATTTACAATGTCGTACCATCAGTACCTTATGCCTGCGCATACATCTACCGGAAACGGATGGTGTACTATATATTATTTTACATATGGTAAAGGCGCAATATTTAAATATTATTTTTATAACAATACTACAATCTGGAAACGCTAGTAAATATAAATAAAGATTTAGTGATCTTAAGCCAACTTGCTAAGGTCACAATTTGGTACTGAATAGTACTAAATGTTACTTTTACTACGCAAGAAATTTAATTAAACTGGAAGATCCATCGATTACTTTTCTTAATTAAAATAATTTTGTTCGCAATGTGGAACAAAACTGAACAGAATCCTTCTTCCTGCCAACAAAATGATTTAAGATTAGAGAAAAAAAGTAAAGAGATTTAATTTTTATGGTCCTATAGTTAGACAGGAGAACCAAAAATCCAAAGGTATTTATTACTTTACGCTGAGATTTTGAAAAATGTGCCAAAACATGTGTGCCAACAGTAAACGAAAAGGTGGGCATTATGTATTTTTTTAACATGATTAATATGGCATGCAATTAAGAAGACCTTTACTAAAGAGAGATTGGCTAGAGAAAAAAAGGAATGTCACACTTCAATGCCGAAAAGGTGTAGGGCTTATAAAAACCTTTAAAATAGCGTCCTTGAATAGGTAATCAGAATCATGCTTGGGTTCGAGCAGGATCAGGTCACCAAATATGAAATACTGCGCAGACGCAACTAAATATTTAATATTTACTCACAATAGTTGTCACGCCAACAGACTGAAACAAAAAATGACAGAGCTTGTGCACTTCTTTTCCACCTACAGGGTGGACATAATGCGTATATGCGAGACTAAGTTAACTAAACACCGACCGCTTAAAGGTACCATATTACAGCACATATAGACAAGATCGGATGACCGAACGCTGAGGAGGTGTTGCAATTCTCGTGAAAGCCCATATCCCCCATAAATATGTCAATAAAAATTTTCAATGTTGCACAATTAAGTTATTGCACAATTAAGCTTAGTAGCGGTGTCTATATAATACCATGTTACAACCCTCCATCAAACTCTCATACTGATATAGATCTGGATAACCTCCTCTCGCCATTTTCTCAAGTTCTACTGGTCGCTAATGCTCGTCATAAAACGTGGAAAAATCACATTAATAACCCAAACGGAACAACACGCCTTTATACTGAAAATGCATGTGTGGACACAGGCGGAACGTGCAATCATCGCCTGGTTAAAGGGCTAAATAAAGAGAACAATACCGGCCCCCTTGTTTACAGGGATCGATTTAGTAGATGAGTGCTCCACCAAGAAAACAACAAGCCATCTGTAGACTTATAATTTTATATGTATTGTATATAGTATTTTTATTATATTGTAAGAACTAACTTCTCAAGATATTATTTGAATTTGAATTTTGGTCGCTTCGGGAGCGAGGGGTGCTCAGATCGATCCTCTATAAAGGTAGAACTTTTTTTATTTTTTTCACAGCTGTTTTATTTTTTTCCAGCTGTCGGTAATAGCAAATTATTTTGTTGGTTAATTTCTGGGGACTTTTGAAAATAATGCCCTGGAGTATTGAACGGTATTTTAACGAAGATAGTTTCCACAATATTAGCAATATTAGCATGGGGGATTCCACTCATTACGATGGTAATGATAATGAAAATGTTAACAAACTGGTTGACGGAATATTGGAACAATTAACGTGATGGTACTCTCAATGAGGCAGGTGAGATACATGAAGCAGAACTGTCGGGAGTTGAGGTCCAGCAGAACATCGTCATACCAGCTGACGGATCAGCGCTGATTGATTTCGTAATATATCCGTCAGTGTGTACACAGTTGCGACTTCCAACCGAGCTCTACCATAATCAACCCCCATAATGCGGACCTTCACTGTAGTACCCAATTCATCTGTACCAACCCCAGCAGTGCAGACTTACCCTTCATTGCCCACATCAAATGTGCCACCTCCCGCAGTGCAAACCTTGGCAGCGCAGTCTAATGGCGAAGTACACTTCACAGCTACCATTCCCACATAGAGAATATTAGTCTCCCCGATTCTACGGAAACCCCGTACAAAAAAGGTGAAACAAATTGTCGGAAAGTTGGGAAGGCTATTAGCGGCCAGTCAGGGAACTTTGAATCCGAGCGTCTAGCTGCGAGGAAGGGCTCCACCAAAAATTAATGTATGCGACCCCTATAGGGCGTATACATCTCGATTTGATGGGTATCTTTAATAATCGCACCACGATTTGATATGGAACTTAAAAATATATACCTAATGTGCCATTAACGTTAAATCTAGACTGTAATAAACAGAAATGAGCCAAATTATTTTTTACTTTTTAGGGCAATTTTTAATAAAATCGTTTAACTTAAAAATGTTTTTTTTTATTGATTTTTTATTTTTAGAATGTATATCAATAATCTACTAAAGGGCTTGGGATATGAAATACCAAAATATCTGACAACTCAACTACTTAACAACTTACATAATGGATTTGATAACATATATTCCCTTTCCCAACAGAATATTGAAGAAGATGATGAAAAAATTGAAATCTATGCAAAAGATGTATTGTCCAAGTATTGAAAGGAGAAGAAAAAAAAGCAATGTTTGGGATATTTTACGAAGAATGTTCACTTTTTAAAATACCCGAAGGACATAAGAAACTCATTAAATTTATTAAAGAAGAATCCGAGAAAAAAATTCATCGAACATACACATGCATAGAGCTAAATGCTCATGGAATTATCTTTGCCATTGAGCAACATCGTCAAAAACAAATTCCAGAAGCTTTTCTTCCATGGTTGTTTAGCAGTCAGTCATGCGTGGCGACCGTGACAGGACTGTGGCTGAACCTGTAACTTTTTTGTTATTCGAAAGCGAATTCACGTGTAAGTGATTAGTGCGATACTCGCTGAACTATGCGGTAACTAACGTGTGGTTTACGGGTTGTGTTTGTTACGTGATTAAATATGGAACAACAAAGGAAAAATCGCAAAGTACTTCGCACTTCTTTCACGAAGGTGGCAAATGAGCTTTCAGATTTGCTATCTAAAGGCGAAGTGGAAAGTCAGCTTGTACAAGTTTCGTGGAACATTCTCCAGCAAAAACATGATAGTCTCAAAAAACCGGATGAGACGATTTTCAATACGATGCTGGAAGAAGACGTTAGCGAAAAGGATTTATTGGCAGAGACTGAAGGAAACGACACCTATGAGCACAAGTTTTGTGATCTGGGTATACGCTGTGAGGAGTTCTTCAAGCCACCCGCGTTGGCTGCCGAGGTGAGATCGAACCACTCATGTAGCGGTAAACAAACAGTTGTTGAACCAGGTAGGTGTAAATTTAAGTTACCGATGCTGGAGTTTAAAAAGTTTGATGGGACTATTAAAGACTGGCTTCCGTTTTGGTCCCAATTTAGGAAAATTCATGACGATCTTGATTTAGACTTAAGTGACAAGGTCGAATATTTAGTTCGAGCAACGGTTGCCGGAAGCCGTGCCAGACAATTAGTGGACAGTTTTCCCGCGACGGGTACTAATTATTTGAAGATAGTCGATTGATTAAAAGCGCGATTCGGTAGGGACGATCTTCAAATCAAAGTTTATGTGCGTGAGTTGTTGAAATTAATAATAAAAAACGCTACGTCGAACGAAAAAATCGAGATCTCTTTATTATACGATAAAATAGAGACGCAATTACGTGCGTTGGAAACACTCGGCATTACTTCCGATAAGTACGCGGCTATGCTTTTTCCATTAATCGAATCGTGTTTCCCGCCGAACCTCCTTCGTATTTGGCAACGTACGTCAACGGTCACTGAGGGTAACGGGGAGTCTAGTTTAGAAAACCGCCTAAAGTCTCATGTTATTTTTAAGAAACGAGGTAGAAAACGAACAACATGTATGTTTGGCGATGGAAGGGTTTGGTTTAGGATCAGGTTTAAATAAAACTAAGAAGAATTTGGAACATAGGAATACCGGTGTAGATAATAGCGGGAACGTGAAGTTTAGGTCTGTGCCAACTGCATCAGGCTTAGCAAATAACACCAGGGAACCGCCAGTGCGTTTTCTGTAACAACAATTCGCATGAAAGCGTCAAATGTTTTCGGGCAAAGAAGTTGTCAGTCGAACAGAAACGCGACAAGTTGGGCGATTCCAGTGCATGCTTTCGGTGTCTCAAAATCGGGCATATTTCACGAAGATGTCGCATGAGAGTAAAATGTGTCACTTGTGGGAAATCACATATGGAAATTATGTGTCCAGAGCTGGCGAAAGGTATACCACAAGTCACAGAACCACCACTTACATCGACCAATGCAGACGCCAGCCAGGTATTAGTAGCCAACCACAGCACGTACACCCAGGTATTTTTGCAAACCCTCCGCGTACAATTATACGGCTCAGGGCGCTCCAAAGTTGTACGGGTTTTAATCGACACTGGTTCCCAGAAGTCGTACATTTTAGGGTCAACGGCCACTTTGTTAGGTTACACCCCCAAACAAAAGATAAATTTACTACATGGATTGTTTGGGGGAAGTCAGATCATGCGGCAACATAACGCTTATGAAATTAATTTACGACATAATACTAATGCTTGCACTTTCGAAGCTCTTGACGTCATTTGCAATGCGGTTTCGCCTATTTTTGATGGAGTTTGGTTAGAAGAAATGAGTCGGCTGGGTATTGTGCTTTCGGATACTTTGACCCTGTCACCTATTGAGGTGTTGATTGGTAACAGATGTGGCGGGGAAGTTGTACACGGGCCGAAGACATATTTTGCCATGTGGTTTGGTGGCAGTAGAAACTCTATTAGGCTGGACTTTGATGGGCAAGATACCTGAAGGACGTAATAGTGTCGAAACTTTGTCGGCTTTAAGTCTTTTCGTCAGTGACACATCGTTGGCCAACTTGTGGAAACTGGAGACGTTAGGCATCGTGGACCCATCGGAGCAAAGGACACGGGAAGAAAGCGCTTTGGCGGCAAAGGATTTATTTTTAAGGACAATTACTGTCAATGGCGAGTCCAGGTACGAAGTCCGCCTATCTTGGTTAGAGGATCGCCCAGAATTGCCGAATAACTACAATCTTGCCAGGAAAAGAGTTGACAACACTGTTAACAAGTTACGCAAGGATGGACTTTTCGAATTATATGACAGGATCTTTGAAGAATGGCTTGCGGAAAACATAATAGAAGTCCCTCAGACGAATACAGGCGAGGCCCATTATCTGCCACACCGGCCAGTTATCAAAGAGTCGAGCACAACGAAAATTCGGCCGGTATTTGATGCATCAGCTAAAGAAAAATATAAACCCTCTTTAAACCAGTGTCTCGAGAAAGGGTTAAACCTTATAGAGGAAATTCTGAATATTTTTCTTAGATTCAGGACCAATAAAATTGGAGTGGTATCGGACATTAGAAAAACCTTTTTTCAGATCAGTGTACACGAGACCGACAGGGACTATCTACGATTTTTATGGGTCAATAAAGACGGTGGTTAAAAAATTTTTCGGCACCGAAGGGTGGTGTTTGGCATTAACAGTAGCCCATTTTTATTAGGGGCCACGATAGAATATAACTTGACCCAGATGCTGCAAAAGGCAAGTACACGTTATTCAGAACGGACAGTGCAACAATTATTAGAGAGCTTTTATGTCCATAATTGCGTGACGAGCGTCGCAAATGAGGAGCTTTTGGTAAAGTTTATTAACGAGGCGTCTTCAATAATGGCTGAAGGAGCATTTGATTTGAGAGGATGGGAGTATACCAACTAAGTGCAACCAAACGAATCCTACTGTGGTACCACGGTACTTGGTATGACATGGGATACCACCAAAGACACCTTAAGCCTTAAGTTGGAGCTAGAAAACTTTGCCGAAATGCTTAGTAGGCCGGTGACAAAAAGATTTATGTTATCATTGGCTCAACGACTATTCGATCCGATAGGGTTCACCTGTCCTGCTACATTGTACCCTAAAATTTTACTGCAACAGACGCAGACGTGGGAGAAATCCATAGGTTGGGACACTCCATGCTAGAGCCAGTATATATTTTTAGAGAACAATTTCTGTTACATTTTTTAGAACAAAGCTAATTTCAGTTTAATATGCACATGTTTTTCTCGATCCTATTCAAAAGTGAAAGTTTATGGATTTACTGTTGGTGACGGTTGATCTTGGGAACTCTTGTCTATTAATTTATGACCGAAGACAAGGGTTCCTTCGAGGACGTAGTTCAAGTGGCTTTTGAAGTAGGTACTGAGTTAAAAACATGTGCCTTATTTTTTAGAAAACTGAATATTTGGGATTTTAGTCTTTAGTATCGCATAGATTTTAAAGGGAAGAAGAAGGCGGAGTCGTACCGGGTTTTGTATAATTTACGCTTTTCCATTCTCTTTTTAATTAATCATTTATTCGTGGATTTTGTTTATTATTAGTTGTAAGTAAGCTCAGTATTTAATAAAGGTTGTATATATGTAAATAAATACGGCTTTTATTTCCAAGGAGACGTGTTGTTAAGACGGGTAGTTTTAGTGACGCGACATTTAGTGGCTTGCTAATTTATAATAATGCTCCATTTTATTGTTAAGATCTCTAACATATTTGGAGATAAGTTTTTCTTGATTATACAGGGTTTCCGGAGGCCTACTAGAAGTGTGTCCAAATAATAATTCGTAGGGTGTAAAACCATGTGTTTTGTTTTGAGTGTTGTAACAAATAACAGCATAGGGGAGAATATTGAAGGGATGTTCATTGGGATTTTCGGCTACGTGGATTCTAATCATTTCCGTTAGTGTGGCGTGGAACCTTTCAAGGGAACCGTTAGACTGGGGATGACTTGCACTAGAAAATGTTAGTTTGATGTCGTAAAGTTCACAAAGATCTCTTAAAAAAATATTATCGAATTCTCGACCTTGATCGCAATGAATCCTCAAGGGGGTACCGTAATGTTGAAATAATATTAGAAGAGTGTTTACTATAGTAGATGCCTTTTTGTCGGATACAAGGTAGGCTTGAGTGAATTTTGTAAGTTCATCTCTTACAGTAAAGTGTTGGAAATTCATATGAATCAATATTGATTCTCTCAAATGGTGTTTTAGGGGTTTCTGTTATAACCAGAGGTGTATTAAGGTTTTTGCGACAAATCTTTGCTTTTTGACAGATTTCGCAACTTCTAATAAATTTTTCTACATCTTTTGTTATTCCTAGTCAATTATATTTTTCTCTGATTCTTTTAAGAGTTGCGTTAATACCACGATGAAGATTATTTTTACCAGTATGATATTGATCTAAAATTATAGGGATCTGATCTTCGTCAGGGGTAGTAACATTTTGACAAATTTTTAATTTTATATCCTTGTCAACAAAAATGTATGAGAAAATTTCTAAAATAGGTAAATTTAAATTATTTTCTATACAATAGGTTTTTTGAATGTCAAATTCGTTTTTGCCATTAAAAAGAATATAAAACAGACGAGGTACTACATTATCAACGTCATATGCTAAAGGAATAATAAAGTACTTGCGTTCTTTTATAGTTTTGCTTGACAAGATATTTATCTGATGAGGTTAAAAATAGATATTTTCTTCAAAGATGTCGTCTATGATTTTATGATGTAGTTGTTCAAGTTTATTTTGCCAGAAAAATGTTACAATATTTTTATGAGATTTATCTAAAAGCTGTGAGTTTGAAATTTCGAATTTAGAATAGTCTCTAATAGATTTAATCTTATATAAATTAACAAAGGTCTTATACTCTTGCGTTACATTATCAGTGTTCAAAATCGTCTTCACTGTCAGAAATTATTCTACTTGTTGAAGGTCGATTGTGAGGATCATCTTTAGTTAAAGAAGAGACATAAATTTTAGATTGAAAATTAGAACAATCTTTAAAATGATTAACCTTTATTCTAGATAGTGCGTCAGCATTTTTGTTAATCTTACCAGGTTTATAATCTATTTTATAATCGTACTCCTCGAGTTTGAGCCGCCAACGTGCTAAACGACTACCAGGGTAATTGATCGAAAAGAGCCAAGTAAGAGGGCGATAGTCTGTGATAAGAGTGAATTTTCGACCATACAGATAGGGCGAAAATGTTTAACTGACCAGACTATAGCAAGAAGTCTAAATCGAAAGAAAAAAGAAGTCGAAACTCTCTCGATGGTTGAGTATTTAAACTCGGCACTACACAAGGTTCTGGAGGCGTATGCTATGGGTAGGTCTTTGCCAATTGGACCTTGAGACAATACAGCACCTATTGCAAAGGCACTTGCATCTGTAGTCAATACAAAGATTTCATCAAAATTAGGGTAGATTAAAATAGGGTCAGAAGTTAGGGCGTTTTTAAGATCATTGAAAGAAGACATACATTCGGAATCAAATTGAAAAGGAATGACTTTTTGTAGTAGACGTGTTAAGGGCTTGGAAATTTTGACAAAATTCGGAATAAATCGTCGATAATAACCAGTTAATCCGAGGAATGATTTTATCTCTTTTTCGTGTGTAGGTACCGGGAAGTTTTGAATACATTGAACTTTAGCAGGGTTAGATCGATCACAACTCTCCATTTTGGTTTGCCAGAGGCATCCAATTTTTTCGGGACGACCCAGACAGGGGAAGACCACGGGGATATTGAAGGTCGAATGATACCTTGATCTAACATGTTGTTAATTTGGGATTTGACTTCCTCTTTATGAATGTGGAGATATCTGTATGATTTGGTAAACACGTAGACTAAGCATCTTTCGTTTTGAATGCCTAAGAGGATGTTGTCCATCACTCATTGAAAGGTGGAAGGGGCGTTTTTAAGACCGAATGGCATACGGACGAACTCATAATGCCCATTATCAACTGAAAATGCAGTTTTTGGGATGTCATTTGGGTTTATCTCTATCTGGTGGAAATCAGAGGCTAAATCCAGTGTCGTAAAATACTGACATTTGCCTAGCTGATCTAGCAAATCCGAAATGTTAGGGAGAGGATATTTATCACCTACACTTAGTTCGTTGAGTTTGCGATAATCGATCACAACTCTCCATTTTGGTTTGCCAGAGGCATCCAATTTTTTCGGGACGACCCAGACAGGGGAAGACCACGGGGATATTGAAGGTCGAATGATACCTTGATCTAACATGTTGTTAATTTGGGATTTGACTTCCTCTTTATGAATGTGGAGATATCTGTATGATTTGGTAAACACGGGTTTGGCATTGTTAGTGTCTATGGAATGTTTAATCTGTTCTAAAGGTTAAAACATCACCTTCAAGATAAAAAATATCAGAAAATTCTAGACATAGATTAGTAATAAGATCATTTTCCTCTTCGTTTAAATGATTTGTTCTTAACTGCTCTTTGATAGTTTTATGTCTATCTCTTTGAATGTAATTAGGATCGAAATTAAAATTTAAAAGTGTGTAGTCTTCATCTGAATTTGAGCTAAACGGTTCTATATTTAGATCTGATAAATCTATAGATTTTTCCATGGCGTTTGTATTCGCAATTGACGTGTAAAATTCACCGTGTACGTTTACCTTTACTAATGCGTTTGGTAACCTAACTTTTTCTTTTTCGTTAGAATATAAAATTGCGTCAGTGTTTTTTAAATTGCACGAGAGCTTAAAAATTTGTTCGGTTCTAGCCGGTATTTTAATGCTATTGCGTTTTATTGAATTTTCAAAAGATATTTCTTGTTTTAATTTATTATTATCAACTTTATGTAAAGGGATTGTTTTAAAATTTGTAATTAATTCTTTAGACTTTAAATCTATAACACACTCGTAATGTTCCAGAAAATCCAAACCTAATATACCATCAAAATCGATATCGAGATTATGGACATATACTTTATGGGGATCAACAGGAACAAAAGGAATGAGGGTGGATTTATTTATTGGAATTTTTTCGTTAGTTATGCCTTTGATAGTTGCATTTTCGGGATAACAATTTGGAAATTTATTTACAGTATGTTCTTTAAATATTGATATTCCAGCACCAGTGTCAAATTAAAAGTTTATAAGTATTTGTTATGTCGTTTATATAAAAAAGATTCTGAGGGTTTACTGTATATAATTTATTTAAATGAATTGTTGATCGGGAAAATTCACATTCGGGTTCATGTTGTCTAAATTCAGGGATTGGATTTGGGTTTCTAATTGGGATTTGGGTTTCTAATTGGGATATTTCTTCTTGGAATGTGTTGATCGGAGGGTCTAGGTTGTGAGGCAATTCGAGAAAATCCCCACAATTATCAATATTTTGAAAATTATTAGGAAATTCTTCGAGAATTTCGACTTGGTTTTGATAATTATTATACGGGGTGTCGTTAAAATTATCAGAACAGTAGTTAACGTAATCGTCATAATTAATATGCTGCATTCTGTTTTGATTATTAAAATTTCTATTTTGAAAATTCTGATTAAAATTTCTATTTTGAGAATTTTGATTAAAATTTCTGTTAGGGATATTTGTTTGATTTTGATTATTGTGAGAAACTTGTGTTATG